GGCGGAGGGCGGGGGCGCCAAGGCGGCCGGTGACGCCTCGCCGGTGCCGGCGGCTGTGCTGCTGCCGTCGCCGATGCGCTTGCTGCATAAGGAGCAGTCAAACGCCGCCGCCGCCGCAGCAGCAGCAGCAGCAGCAGCAGCAGCACCTGCAAAGGAGGCGCAGGCGCAGCCGGGGACGCCAAAGAACGAGCCGTCGCCGCCGCCGCCGCCAACATCCCTCGCGCAGGCGAAGCAGCAGCAGCAGCAGCAGGCGGCTGCAAGCGCAGCGGCGTTGCTACCGCAGGACGAGCGGCAGCAGGAGAAAGAGCCGGCGGCGGCGCCGCCCGCGCCCGCCCCCGCCGTGGCCCCAGAACCCAAGCAGCAGCCGCCAAAGCAGCACCCCGGCAGCCTCGCGTCGCCGGCGGGCATGCCGCCGCTGCCGACGACCCTCTCGGCCAAGGCGCACGCCGACAAGGGCGGCTCGGGCGGCATCTCCCGCGAGTCCTCGCTCCAGGCGGCCGCGGCGGCGGCGCTGCCAGGGGAGCTGCAGCCGGCGGTCGCGCCCACAGTGGCGGTGACGCCGCTGCCCGCGAACGACGCCCCCGCGGCGGCGGCCGCGGCAGCGGCCGCAGCGGCGGTGGTGCCGGCGGCGGCGGGCGCCGCGCCTCACGGCGCCGCGACGGGCGAGGAGTTGGAGGAGGGGGAGATCCCCCCTCAGCAGCTGGTGCAGGCGGCGGCACCCGGCGACGCGGCCGCGGCAGCTGCGGCGGCAAACGCCGCTGAGGTGGCGCACCTCAGGCGGCAGCTGGACCGGCTGGTGTCTTCCCAGCAGTCGCTGGCGTCGCAGCTACGGTCCGAGGTTGCGGACGGCCTTCGCGCGTCCGAGGCGGCGGTCGCGGCGCGCGTGGAGGCGGCGGTGGTCAAGGCGCTCAACAAGCGAGCGGAGGACGAGCGGCGGCGGGCCAAGGACCTGGAGAAGGCGCTGACTCAGCAGATCACCCAGGTGAGATCATCAGGCCAGGTTCAGGGCTTGTTTCGGCGGCAATGTTGCTGCAGCTGGCTCTTGCCAGCAGAGTGTATGTGAAAGTCTTGCGGCGACCAGTCGCTGTGCCTGAACACCTCGCGCCACGTGGGACGGCTGCCAGAATATCGACGTCATTTGCTTGGTGCTTGCGAGTCTGCTGCTGCCTCGCGCGTGCTGGCCCCTCACCCCTCGTCATGCATACATCCAAGTACGCGCCTGACGGCTGCCACAATCGCATGCCATAATACACAAACCTCTCCTCGCCCCCTGAACGGGACGCCGCCTCTGCCCACAGGCCAACGCGGCGCTGCTGGCGGGTGTCACGAAGGCTGCGCAGGACGCCGTGCGCGAGCAAGCGCGCGCGGCCCTCGCCGGCGCCGCCGCCGCCGTCGCGCCCTCGCTCGCCTCCGCGCTCTCGCAGCCACTGGCGCGCGCGGCTGGCGACGCGCTGGCGCGCGAGGCGCCGGCG